ACGTATGCACCGACTGTAGCGGTTTCTAGCGTTCGCTTGTTGGCAGCGATGGCGTGTGAGCAAAATCTTTCTCTCCGTCATTTTGACATCAAGCAAGCATTCGTCCAGTCGGATTTGGATGAGGATGTATCCATGCGTCTGCCAGGGGTGTGGTAGATTGTCAGGTATGATCGTGAAGTTGAACAAGAGTCTGTATGGCCTTAAGCAGGCNGCGGTTTCTAGCGTTCGCTTGTTGGCAGCGATGGCGTGTGAGCAAAATCTTTCTCTCCGTCATTTTGACATCAAGCAGGCATTTGTCCAGTCGGATTTGGATGAGGATGTTTTTATGCGTCTGCCAGAGGGGTGTGGTAGATTATCAGGTATGATCGTGAAGTTGAACAAGAGTCTATATGGCCTTAAGCAGGCATCAAGGCAGTGGCATTCACACTTGGCGAGGTGTTTGATTTGTTTGGGTTTTTTTCAGTGCATGGCGGATACGTGTGTGTTTCGGTTGATTGAGGAGGGAAGAGTGGTAGTGACTCTGGTGGTACATGTAGATGATATATTTTCGATAGGAGAGGAGGAGAGGTGTGACCAGTTTGGCAGGGACCTCAACACCATGGTGCCTGTGAAGAATCTTGGGAACTTGAGATGATACTCGGGATGTTTTGATNTGACCAGTTTGGCAGGGACCTCAACACCATGGTACCTGTGAAGAATCTTGGGGATTTGAGATGGTACTCTGGATGTTTTTATGAGAGAGATTGGGATGCAGGAACTTTGAAGATCTCGCAGCAGACGTACGCTGAAGAGTTGGGGATGGAGTTTGGGGTAGAGTACGGGAAGGAAATTCCTCTTCCTGTAGGGTTGAAGCTTTCAGAGTTTGACCAGGATGAGCAAGTGGTATCATGGCCTTTTCGCGAGCTGGTAGGATCATTGATGTGGCTGGCAACGCAAACGAGGTCAAATATCGCGAATGCAGCAAGAGCGGTAGGACGGTACTGTGCCTCTCCCAAAGAAATTAATTGGAGAGCAGGGCTTGATATTTTAGGGTATGTGGTACGGACTAGTGACTTGGGTATTACATTCAGGAGGGGTAGTGTAGCAGGATTAAGCATGGAGGTGTTCGTAGACGCAGACTATGCAAGTAAGGCTGCCGATAGGAGGTCTGTGTCAGGGGGATTGGTGATGTGTGGGGGGGGATGTATTTCTTGGTTTTCAAGGACCCAGAAGTGCGTTACGTTGAGCACGACAGAGGCGGAGTATGTCTCTCTTGCGGATGTGATGAAGGAAGTGTTGTTTCTGAGGCAGGTGTGGCGTTTCATGTTACCAGAAGCAGGCATGCCGTGTATTCAGGTGTTCGAGGATAACCAGGGGGCTAATCAGTTGGCGCAAAACCCGATAAGCAACAGTAACTCGAAGCACATCGACGTAAGGCACCACTTTATCAGGGAACTGGTAGGCAGGAAGGAGATGTCGATTTTTAACGTGGAATCGGCGTATCAACATGCTGACTTTCTCACGAAAGCACCTCACGCGGGAGATTTTGAGTTTCATCATAACTACGTGATGAGTATGGATTAATATATTGGTGTTTGGATTCATTTTGTGTGTGATCAAACAATTGGGGTGGCAACATTTTACATTTTTGCCTATGGTTTTCCTCAATGGATGATGTTCTAGACTGGGGGGCAACTAGTTCACTGAAGTTCGAACAAGTATAACTGGTATGATCGGGGATGGTTATTGATGTCTAGCCAGTGAGGCTATTGTTCTAGAGTTGAATTGAGGTTTGATTTTATTTTTATTTTCTTGTGTTTTGGAGTTATGTAGGATCGAAAAAGACATGGCATGGTCACAAGCAGGGGGCTGGTAGATATACTTGTAGCAATGCCAAGTGGTTGTAGGATTGTGTGGTACGTGGAATGTATTTTCAGGGTGTGCAAGGTACCCCTGTTGTATGCTGCGTCGCCCCCTCATGGTGGTGCGTGCACGCGTGCGTTCAGTTCATGTGAGTTCATGTGAAGAAGAAGTTTATGCAACAAACCCTACACGTCTTTCCTCCTTGGCGCGAGTTCGCCGAGTTGCCGACACCCTATTCAACACACGTCTTGCGACAAGCTACCCCCAGTTCGGATCATCCTTACAACCCTGCCAGTCGAATCACTGTGGCAGAGAGGCCACAGCGCCACGATGCTCACCAAGGCCGACCAGTCATGGTAAGAGAAGGTACAAACAAGCAGATGAGCGGCTCATATCAACTTTAAAGCGCACAATCAGGCAAAAAATGAGAACCATGCCGAGGATTATCAACAAATGAAAAAGTATCACCCTCCCCTGAACCGGTACAAACGAAACTCCGGAGGAATTAGAGCAGCAACGCAAACTACGAATATGGTGCACCGAGTGAAGGACGGGTGTCCAAACGCCAGGCGACGCTGAACGACATGGAGGGACAAAGGAACTAAACGGAAGGGAGGAGCAGGTCCGCTGCTCCTTGCTTGGTGTCACTTGCTATAGTGTGCTGGGTTTCACTTTTCCTTCAACTCCCAAACTTAACGGTACTGTAGAGCACACTAATGTGGGTCGAGTACACTATGGTGGATCGATATTGTATCCCCTTCACACCAGGCGTGCGTTAACCACCTTACCACGCACAGAAAATTCCGCATTCTTGCGAAATTTCTGAAATGTAAGAAAAAGAGCGAACGACGCCTGGTGATTGGATAGTGCAGTCAGTTCCATCCCTGGGTGCAAGTACAAAGCTGCCTTCCCACTTGAGCCGTCTCTTGTCCGTAATCCCTGTCAAATGTCCCCTCGAATCGAGGGGACATTTGATAGGGATTATAGACAGCAATGGCGGGAGCGTGGTAAACGGGGCACGAAAAGGAGGTTTTCAAGATATTTCTCTAGAGGGAAAGAGAGACCTTCTAACCCACGCCCTAGGTTGCCCGGTGCCTCCTATCAACGTTGGGCTAGGTACTTCTTCCGCGCTTGCCCCTAGTAGCGCTTCCCACCCAAGGGAAGACAGACGCGGCGCAACTTCGCTATTGAACCCGCGGCGTAATCGCCCCCCGATTCGACCTGTTCACCTGTTCATTACCCTCATGCTCCTCCACTCTTCAAAGCATCCATACTAAACTAGAGTCGTCCCCGTGTACCCTGGCACCCACCTGGTCGAGTAGTTCAAAGGAGGAGACAATCGTGCCATTCTTCGCGAGGAAAAGCAGGTGAAGAAGATGGGGACAAAAAGTGTCCCCAAAAGGCGATCTAGCCCTAAAAGTCTAAACGCTCATAAGTAGACAGCGACGAAGGCGGTTGGAACCCTCATCAACAAAGTACTAAACGGCAGTATTAAGTCTACAAGACTAGTTAGTCTATCCAGAATCATATAATCGTCAAATATGAAAGTATGTATCCGGCGTTTCTCTGCCTGGCACAGAGGCAACCCGTTCGCCGGGAAATAAACCCAACGCAGTCGTTCATTGTTGCCACAGCCTAGACTACATGTTGATACTGGACGAGTCTCGGTAGCAAACCTCTCCACTAATTGCTTCTTGTTCCACGTGGGCGACAATAGGCCCTTGCAATGAATAGTTTGGGGGCTCACCAATGGTTTGCTTTCGTAAGTCTTGGCGTGAAGTTCTGTGAGTGCGGGCGCCAACTGTATTCCCCCACGCGTTCAGGAAAAACAGCCTCCTTGTCTGTGACGTGCCGTGCGCTTCTTGGCAACGGTAAGATTTCACTGTTGAGTTTTCTGTGTTGGCATCGAGCCCGTTGTCTGCTTCTGTCAGTTATGCAGCTGCTGTAATTTAGGAACGTACGTCTGTACGCCATTGAGCGTCCATGGACGACAACGAGCACCCCATGGGCATTGTCGAATGTCATGTAGGCGTTAGACAAGAGCTTCCAGCCGCGTCAATCGTCTCCACAGCAATTCGTGCCGTTCAGCCCATGACCGCCGGAACCTCCGTCGTACCTTCACATCTGTGGGGTTTGAATCGATCACAAAGCGGAAACTTCAGCCATCGATGCAACCAAAGCCTCACAAGAATTAGTGGAAACAGCATGCAACCATTGAATAATTGAACAAACTCGTACTTGCGACAACCTCCGAAAACACAGTGCAGACTAGCAGCACAAATCAAAAAGAGTCGAGGACTAATACAGTGCCCTCGATACCAAAACTCCAAAAGCGGCGACGCCATAACGAGAATAGACAGAAAGCATAAAACACACAAATAGTCTAGGAGTTCATGGAACGATGCAGTGACTCGAGTCATTTACACGCCTACAAGATATTACGCAAATGATCCCCTTGCCTTGAACCAATGGCTCCGCTAATGCACTAAACGAGCGCCGCTGGTAAGCAGCCAGTATCTCTTGGAAGCTACTCACGCCCCGACCATGCGCATCGCGAACATGTCTCAGCCAACACGGATCTGTGACCGCTGTTGTACTTCAACAGACTAGCTACAGCAAGATAGCCGACACCACTATAAACAAAAGTTCCGTCCAACGGTGTGCTAAATAGAGAGACCTCGACCTATTCTGAACTACGTGACTTCGGTAGGGTGGCCGTGCCATGACCCCACAACTACACTAGCGGAATAGCGGGGAAAAAACACCCACGCCTCTGAGAGTGCACAAGATTTGTTTCGGTATTGTAGCTAACAAATCGAGCTCGTGCTTCAAGTAGTGGTGGTCCTCAAGGCCACGCATTGCAACTTGACGCCGTGAGCAGTTTCCCTGACGAGGATGCCCTACTCCAGCCATTGTCAGCAGTCCAACATGGGATAATCCAGGCTACGCGCTCTAGGATCATTCCGCCCGTGTGCAGCAGCAGAGTGCTGCCTAATGCCAAACACGTCATTCCCACCCCAACTAGAGGCGGGGCCTCGCAAATGCATCATAGCACGGACCCCCGATCGCCCTCGAGGTTGGGCACCGCTCCTTCTCCCCGACAACAATCGGGCACCGTCAATAGGTCACGCGAGAAATTCCTTGTATATGTAGAGCGCTCTCCTTAAATGGAGGCATCGTGGACAACATGTATCTCGAAATAACTCGAGCGTTTCGATCGCGGTACGGACCGGCGACATCGTGGACAACATGTATCTCCAAATTAACCTTAGCGTTTCGATCGCCGTACGGAACGGCGACACGGTAACGCCAAACGCTAAAGAAGAGCTGCGATTTACCACGCAACAAAGTCGACATTTCACAGTATCAACAGGGACGACATTCATCTACAAAGGAGGGTAATACACATACTGACACCAAAGGGTTCGGAAGTGAAAACACTCACAAGAGGCAGGACAACACAAGTCAGCCAACACACACGCGCGGGGGGGCACGTACGCAAGCGCAAACCATCATGCCCCACGCATGCCGACGGAGGGTTTCTACGACAGTCACCCGCGTCTCTATGATCAGGGGGCCATAGGGTCGGGAACGCCGGTCTCGTCGATGCGTTCCCACCCGAAGGGCCACTCGGTCATCCACAGAGGGTTTTCGGGCAGTTTGTAAGCTTGGTTGTACTCTTTCCTAGGATTGAAGTAGGACCAGTTGGACCTGACCAGACGACGAGGGGCAAGGGCACAGGCACCGTGAAACAAAAATCGGAGGACGTGAGTTACAGACTCCAACAGCACGCTGCCCAAAAAAAAAAAAACGAGGCACGCTGCGAGACCGGCGGGAAATAACAAGTCCTTGGCAGTTGCATGCCCTCGCGAAGCACATGGTATCTACCTCGTGAAAAGGGCAACTACTTCGAGAGCGGCATACACATGCATGCTGGTTGAGAATCAGAGGACACACAATTCTACAGCTTTTGTAGGCCCTGGACGCGGGAAGAACTCCACACTACAGCAAGTATTACAGTTCAAGGTCTGGAGCAGCAACGACACCACGAAAAAAAGCATGATAAAACAAAAACGAGGGGCGTTCCCGACATGAAAAAAAAAAAATCCCCGACACAGCCTGGCGTGGTGTGCACGCTACGAAGAAGACACGAGGCATCTCTCCCGCCACGACTCGCGAGCGATCTCACTTTCTGGGCATCTGTAGGTGTCCCCTGAGCCGAAGAATGTACGCCGTGAAGGTGGATAGCCAGCACCCCGTGAAAGTTCGCCCGTGGCTCGCAATGACCTGGGGCGGGGACGCCGCAGTGGGGCACGGCAATCGCGACGCCGGTCATGAGCAGGGCACAACAGCGGACGCCAGAGCAACGAAGCGGGCGGGCTGGGCTCTATGACTGGTGCACTCGTTGAACGTCTTGGCGCCATGAACCGCACGGAACGAGTGGTTACATGGTACACCTCGCCAAACATGCAAGGCGGCCTCATCCAAGCGGGACATCTACGTCTTCGGGCAAGTAGACGCACAAGACGGGGCTAACAAAAGAAGAGACTAGAGTCGAGTATACCACGCATCAGGCAACGATCACCCACGACACCGCACCTGTTCCAGCATGCCGACGAGGTTGGGGTTGAGCTCGGACACCCCTGCTCGCTCGTAGTAGTCCGACAAGAACTTCACACGAACGTTCTTCTTAAAGGGCTCGAACACCGACAGATCCTTCTCGTCGGTCGCAACGTACACCACTTCGTTATCGTTGAGGTGGTCCTGCCAAAAAACACACACACACAAGGGGGAGATCGGGATACAGCAGGAGGTATATGTAGGTGGGAGCCGCCATGTCTTCGCGCGGTCTTCCGTATCCACCGGGTTAAGATCTGTGCACATTCGGGTTTCTAGGCCCCAGCTCTAGTAGACTGGAGGCAATCAAAAGCTCACGAAAGCACCGGAGTGGCCCTGAGCGAGACTAGTATAAACATACGACGGTCAACCGCATGTCCGACAACGAAACGTGCCAAAGGTATTGACTTTTCGGGCGGCAGCACCTCCCCGAAACAGGCAGGTTGACAAAGCGTTCCGTCGGGGGGGGGGAATGGCTTGGCGCTCTCAAGCAACACCGAGAGAGTTGTCAACATTTGGACACCAGATACCACACTAATCACACCGTTGGCCGGTCGAGGGAAGCGGAACTAGGCCCATTCGCCCGGTATTCACTTACCACACTATTCGCGATCACATCAGCCGGATCGATCATGACACTCTCGTAAGTTTTTCCAAAGTCATTCCTTCAGTTTCAAATAGCGGAGAATAACGTATGACAAAAAACGAGACGGAAAAAGGCGCGAAAATAGCAGCGGCGACAGCAAGAAAGGAAAAACGACGACGAGGAGAACAGAAAGGCGAAGACGAGGAACGAAAAAAGGAAGCATGCGTCACGCTTAATGGGCCACACGGTACACGTTCCATGTCCAAGTATCGCTTCATGCGCGATACTGTCGAAGTGGGCGGCGCAATACGGATGGGGATGCGACCGTGCCGGAGCGCCGCAACTTCTTTCGAGCGACGATTGAGCTAAGGCGTTCAAATGTCCCGACTTCGCTTAAACGGCTGGAAATCTTGTGCCGGTTTCCTATAACCTGCAGAAAGGTTGGTTCCGCCGATTTCGCTGAACAGCTGAAATAAATGATACCATGGAATATCCGTTCGAAGTAAAACAGCTGGAATGCTTAATGTACCGGTCCCGCTGCAACAGAACTGTGACCGTCATGCTACCTTCATCCGGATCTACGCTACTCCTTGCATTCACAGAACAAAGACAGGCTTTCCACGTCAAAAATAGATGCGCCGCACCGAACCATGCAAAGGGCCAGGCCATCTAGGCCCGCGTCTGCGAAGAAGCGAGAGCTCGATTGGATCGATTCCGAGCGTAGTTCTGCTGCTGTCACCACGCCCGTGCCTCTCAAGCTCTCGTTTGTGGTGTTTCCGCAGGGGTAGAGCAACGATGCTGTTTCTTCGCTACACGTTTCTCGGTTCCACCAGTTTTCGCTATTTGCCCCTCTGACAGCATCCACCCGAACAAAGATTCATCGAGCCCAACCGACTACGAAACGAGCCGATTTCGAACCAAGTTGAACTGAATCAAAAACAACACCAACCCGACAACAGCCAGAGGCCCATCGCAGCATGGCACCATGAATCTTAAATGAGGCACACCCCAGACAACCTGGACTTTAAGCAGGCAAGCCCGGACACAGATCTCGCGCACCTTCTGACGTGGAACGTGCTGAATTCGCCGGATGGGTCTTCTTGTCTGAGAAGCGAGATAATCTGCACACCCGTCCAGACGGGCACGAGCACACAGCGAGGCGACGAGGAACGGCACACAACATCAACATTCTGCATAAGCGACAAGCAGCAGGCCCGTCATCAAAATCAGCCATCGCCCCAAAAACTAACAGCAAGGTGACCGTGTGCACGGCAGTGTTGACCTTGAGTATGTCTTCCCTGGTAGAAGCGCGTCAGTATCCGTTTTCCTGTACGGTCACCGCATGATACCATGATATTGTCATGGCTGGGTACCTCTTCACAGCAAATTCGTGGTGCCCAATCTTGCCAGAAGAAGCACGCACCGCTCTCTGCACCATAGCAGTGAACTTTATCTTCTCCCGGACGGACGCCTGTAGGCTTACGACATACCACCATTCGGCAAGGGACTCGGATATAGCAGGTACGTAATCCAGGCGTGTTGACGCTGCACTAATCTTCACCGAACTAGTCTTGCAGTACATCCCATTAGATTTAGATGCTCTGCTGAAATGGGATTTACTCTGTACACCCGACAGGCCTTGCACTGGTTAATTTTTTTACCTGACTAGTCTTGCGGGTAAGACTACATCCTTTTAAGAAAATGCCGAACCATTTTCACCTCACTAGCATTGCAGTCACCTATAGAGAGTCCTACGCTTTGATGAAACTCCTCCATTCTATATGGCTCGCTGGATACTTCGTACATACCTCGTCAAGGGTTAGACTAGACAAGAAGAAAGTGCTGCCTTCTTTCATTTTCAAGCGAGAGTACCATGCTTTAGGTCAAACCAACTGCTTCATTCATTGACTGCCCTTGCTGTGTACCTCTCGACCGGACTTCGACTAGGTGCTAATGAAGAAACTGTCTTTCACTTGACCAGCCCTACAGCGAGAGTACCATGCTTCAGGTGACACCGCTTCATCCATTGGCTGTCCTTGCTGCATACCACCTCTCGAGAAGTTAGACTAGGTGCTAATGAAGAAAACCGCTTCCTGGTTTCACCTGACTAGCCTTGCAGTACACCTCCTCGGGGTAGTGCACCAGGTCTCGGAGAAGGCGCTTGTGGTACTGGTCGGACGCCTCGTCCGCGTGCAGCACGAACGCGTAGAACGGTGCCAACAGACGCGACTCCTTCGCTCGCCAGTGGATAACCTGCCAAGCCAAGTTTGTCAGCAGAGCACAACCGCGACCAAGCAATCGTCGCTGTAGTGATTACGGTGGAGGGTGGTTGTTAAACCCCAACCCACTGAAGAAGCGCTTCGGCCGTACTCTCGGCACGCCTCATCATCAGTCCACGTGCTGGGCCTGCATAGACTCCTTGCTTCCGTTGCCACACATAAGCCAACCCCCAAGAACATTAACACCGATACCGCTTTCCGTCAGGGGTGCACTGTTCCCCTCTTCCCCCCCAATAAAATCCGGTATAGACTAGATGTAAAAAGGTTGGGTTGGCCGCGAGGCTGTCCTCGCCAAGACCAAAACTGACTCCGTCACAAAAGGCGGCCTTCTCACCAGCGTGTCTTCAGGTTGTGGACCCAAGGGTATCTCATACCGCACATTCCAACAGCCCCTCACATCGGGCCACTCCAAAAGAGACTGCGGCACGCACGTTTGCACCACGCACCCAGTAACACGCACGACCAAGCGCTGCGGGGAACAGTCAGCATGTCCCCCTATAGGGACAGCTGGGGGGAGCAGAGTCTGCCTAATTGGTAGTTGAAGTGACAACAGCTGCGGCAGAGCAGAGTCTACCTATTTGGTTTGTGAAAGGTTGAAGCGACAACCGCCAGAATGGTGCAGCGGGGCGGTGCGCCAACAAAGCAACGCAGAGGCAACAGCCTACAGGCACGTCTCATGGCTACAGCCGGAAGATCACGGCCGCAATCGTTTTCCTTTTCAAGGAGCACGACGACCTTCGGTCAGGCCGCCCCGCAGTCGACTTCTGCTTTACCTTCGCGTGTTCCCATGGCTGCCCTTTGTACTCGAGCAGCTCTCTCCCGTAGATCCATCTCTTGGCGAAACTGTAGCTCTCGTCCTAACCACCGGCGAGTACACACGCAAGAAACAGCACAATACGGGGGGGCATCGCTGTGATAAACGCGGTGCTCTCAAGTCACCTCTGATCGATGCGGCGAGGAAAGTGCTGCAAGTCCCATGGTTCGGAAGAAGTCATTGGATGGAAATCGGGACAATAAATAGCGGCCGTATTCAAGAAGTCCAACAGTCCGCGCCAAGAGTTTACGCAGCTCGGACCGAACATCAACTTCGCACAAAAGTCGAGCACCTCGGCGGCCAGTTGGGGCGCAATTCTTCACCAAAGCGTGGGGCAGCTTTCGCCCCCAAGTGAAACAACACGGTGACGACGTAGTCTCAGCGCCCCACCCTAACGCGGCTTCATCTGCAGAGCCGACTTCCGTACACTGCACTACAACAGCAGAAATAACAACACTGCGCAGCTACCATTGGCGGGTGCCTGCAGGAAATGAACGAGACTCAACTCAACTCAACTGGACACACCGGTGAGAGGGTTTCTTCTGTGCGGCGCCCGCACCTCTGAAACCAAAACACCAATCCTTTCAAACGACAAGACAAATCGAAGAGAGTACGATTTACATAATGCATACCTCGAGGTCGACTTTCCCGTCTATCCGTCGCGGCATGACCAGGGCCGCCTTTTCTACGCTCAGCTCCGGGAGGCCTCCGTCGTACTGACTAGCCACCTGCTCCATATAAGCTTCGACGGCCTGCGAGACCGAGATGAAGGATAAAGACAGAACAGGGAGAAAGTGAAAAGAGGGCTGAGGAATAGGAATGAGATGCGAGTGAGTGGGAGAGAGAGAAAGTGAAAGTGGAACGGCAGAATGTGAAAGAGAGAAAAGAACAAGAGTTGCGAAGAGGGACAGTGAATTGAGCGGATGGTATGGGGAGAGTCGGATGGAGACCTGGAGCATTTCCGGCCGTCGTCTTCACAACCATGAAGAAGGTACACAGGCTGGACCAGCCGGGAAAAACAAGATCCCCGGAGTCACAACCGCCATCGAGGCAGAAACGAAAGGCGCAGTAGGTACACAGGCTGGTACCAGCCGGGAAAACCAAGATCCACGGAATCACAACCGCCATCGAGGCAGAAACGAAAGGCGCAGTGCACCGTGCAGGGGACGACAGTCACCACGACAACAAAAACAATGTCTTCCACGGTGGACGTGGAATGTAGTCGCGCGCATACGCAACCCGGAAAAGCAAGGGATGATCTTGCGCGCACACCTCCGATTGGCCGATTCAAGAGAAAGTACCATATGATATGGGGAAGAGCGCAAGCGGGTCCGTCAGGGGGAATGGCGGCGTCGGGTGTGTCAAAAACGGCAAACACCTAGAGTGAACCCTTGGATGATGCCGCCACACCAACTTAGAGCAAGGGCCGCACATGACGAAGTCGGGTTGGAGATCAATTTCTAGTGTGGTGGCCAGCGTCCAGCGCAGATTACCGGGCACGGTAGGATTCTGTGTTTCGCAAACACACAGGTCCCCGTTTGATATGGAAAACTCGAGCCTCGTCTTCTCATCGAGAATGCTAAGCTTCCATCTATTCCTTGACGGAAACCCTATTTTTTTCTTTGTTCCGGGCCTGTTTCTTTGCATCAGCCGGGCAGACGTCTTCACGAGCAAGAGGAGAACGGAAGGATGCCGCCAGGGAGCCCACGCCCTTGCCTTCGCTGATTCTTATGACACGACGCCGTCGCGTGGTTGATGCAAACGAATCTGGCACACACAAACAATAAACGAACTGTTCCCTGATTTTTATGATACGACGCCGCCACATGGTTGATGCAAACGAGTCTGGCACATAAACAAAAAAAAACAGTTCACAACTAACGCGCACCGCCGTGAATAGGCACATAAACAAAAAAAAACAGTTCACAAGTAACGCGCACCGCCGTGAATAGTGACTTGTTGACAGACTTTGTAGACTGCATCGATCGATACGTGGTCTCCACCAACACCAGCACAAGGGATGTTTCACGCCCAACAGTTCGATTCGAACGGTGACTAGCCCAACGCGCTGCTGCACACATGAAGGGTTCCTCCTCAAGACTCCCCCTCTGCCGATGGCGGAGACATCATCGCCGGTTGCAACACTGGTGCGCTCCCGTTCCTCTTCGACGCCTCGGTCTCACGCGTCTACCAAGATTTGACTTGGAGAAGGAAAAGGACGGCGTGCCTCCCGATCATCGACGAGCGCTGTGATTGAACAGCGTTCCTTCTGGCTCGTAACTAAACGAACGTATCGCTGGAATCAAGCGGGAACGAAAATGACAGAAGTAAATTTCCAGGACTACGAGCGAAACATTTTGAACAACCGAGGAAAGCCTTCGCCCCGCCAAGAACAAACAAGCATACCTTTACGTCGAGGAGCATGACGCTCTTGTCAGGCTGTACGCCGAGGTTACCCGTAACTGCTTCCCGCTCCAGGAACTCGGCCGTGGTGATGACGTTAACTCGGCCCGACGCACGGAGCTTGTCGAAAGAAAAGAGTTCACGTAGGTCGACCTCCTGCAGCAAAAGAACAGCGAGAGACAGATATCTACATGAAAGGCCACAGATGAAAACGCAACGAGCGTTTACCAAGCCGGAACACATCAAGCAAAAGCACATCAGGCAAAAAAGCGTCGGTGAACAAATGCGTTTGCCCGGTGCCTTCGAAGCGTCTTGATGGTGAAGCATCGAAAGCACTACTTGCTGGCGTTTCTGAAGGACAGGCAGGCACGCCGAACATTCCGACATCTATCCGGCCCCTTCCGCCGGCATGGTCGGGTGTGAACACGCCACAAGGGCATCACGCCGTTTCCTCGTGACCAAATCAACGTGCTCTACGAACGGCATGCAGTCGCCACTTTACCGCGCACATTCTTCGCGGTGCCCTTCATGTTCCAGATATGGAAGGGTGGAGGGATCACGAGCGTTCGACCGGTGGCGGCGGCAATCGCTACTGCGCACTCCAAGCTGAGGCGGATGTTGTTGAAACCTCCGAGGTCCTTCTGTAGGGTAACGTACTTGCTCCCGTGCTCCTCCGCAAGGGGGTGGCGGTACGTTGCGTCTCTGCAGGCACCAACACAACACGATGGATCGTATGCGGCGAAAAAAAAAAACGCGACGGGTTTACAGATGTACCGTACAAAGTCGCGACATGTAACGGGCTACGAGTCGAGTTCCGCCGCAACAAATAACGGATCGTACTTTAGACCAACAGGGAAAATACGACCATTTACTAAAACCGCACGACGTCGCGATTTGTCATGCTCTTCGTACGCAGAGGGTTGCGCACCGTAACAAACAATGCAGGGAAACAAAAAAATCAATGGAAAAAAAGACGACGGTCTTAGCACCGCACAGACTAGCGGCTTGCCACGGGCTACGCACGCGTGGCGACCTGCTTGTACCGCGTGACTCGACGGCTTGTATACAGCACAAATCAGAAGGCAACCGACGACAAAATGATAAGGACCTACTAGTAGAGTAGAGGGCAGGACCAAAGCCGAGTTTTCCGTTCTTGGAAAAGAACACTTGGGCCTCGAGGGTCGCCAGGCTGTATATTCTCGTCAGCCGGAGACAGGCAGGACGCTCTAAAATATGCATATTGTTTTCCCGCTGTCACACCTCCGAGAAAGTCCATACAACAATCTGCGTTGTATACATAAAATTGGTCGAAAAGTCCAGGCGCGAGAAAGACCACAATCAGTAGAGCCTATACAAGACCCAATTTCGTCAAAAAAACGCGACGCATAAAAAAACAACACGATGGTGTGTGCCGTGCAATCAGCAACCTCAACAGCGAATCGAGGCACCCGAATGAAACGTCCACCGACCGTAGGAACTCAAACCCAGCTACCCCTCTTTGCTCACCCGGGCACATCCCTCCACGTCGCAATGTTCGTGATGTTGTCGACGCCTTCCCCTAGCTTGGTCGTTGCGCACTCCATCGCACCGGGAGCAGCCCCGTTGGAGGCTCGGATTATAGGCGGCTCAACCACAGCAGAAACTGCAGGGGCGCCCGCCTCGTCAGTCCGAACTTCAGTTTGCGCAAAGTCTTCTCGTGATTCCTCCGACTCGTTCTGCTGCTGCCACTGCTGCTGCTCGTGCTCCTGCTCCTGATGCTGTGTGTCTGATATGTCCCCGGGTTGCAACAATTTTTGACGCGCAGTACCTACCGGTTGCTGTTGCTGTTGCTGCTGCCCCTCCCGCACAGGTTGGTGCTGCTGATCCCCCTCTCCGCCAGGCTGTACCAACGGTTCTGGGACACCGTTTCCCTCCGCCTGCTGCAGCTGGAGCCGCCGCTGCTGTGGGTCCGGCAGTTCCCCAGGCTGCAACAACCCTTGAGGCACAACATCAACCGGTTGCTGCTGCTCTTGCTCTTGCTCTTGCTCGTCCCACACCGGTTGTTGCTGCTCATCTCCCGTTCCGCCGGGCTGCACCAACGATTCTTGGACACGTTGTTCCTCCGCCTCCTCCTGATGCTGCGTGTCTAGCAGTTCCCCGGGTTGCAACAACACTTGAGGCGCAGTATGTACTGGCTGCTGCGGTTGTTGTTGCTGCTGACCTCCCTCTCCACCGGGTTGCACCAACGCTGCGGGGACACCGTTAACCTCCGCCTGCTCCTGCCGCTGCTGCTGCGGGTGTGGCAGTTCCCCGGGCTCCATCAACCCTTCAGGCGCAGTATCAACCCACTCTTGCTGCTGTTGCTGCGGCTGTTGCCCTTCCAACACCGGTTCTTGTTGATGATCTCCCTCCCCGCCAGGCTTTGCCAACGTTGCTGACTCAAGCTCCACCATCCATGCAGGGGGCTCCACATCTTCCGGTTCCTGCTGCTCCTGCTGCTGCTGTTGCTCCTCCCACACCAGTTGTTGCTGGTCTCCCTCTCCGCCGGGCTGCACCAACGCTGCTGAGACACCATTCCCCTCCCCCTGATCCTGCTGATGCTGCTGCAGGTCCGGCAGTAACCCGGGCAGCAACAACCTTCGAGGGGCAACACCTACTGTTCCTTGCGGCTCTTGCTGCTGGTCTCTGTCTCTACGAGGCTGCGACAACAAATCCTGACGGGGACTATTGTCCACCACGGCCTGCTGCTGCTCACGCGAGCCGACGTCTCTGCCGCCCTCCCTATCCCCGCTCCGAATTTCATCTGGTCTCGGCACGGACGAGCTGCTCACAGCAGCGGCGGTCGCTTGTTGTTGCCCCTCGCCGAACAGCTCGTCGCGGAACGATGCTGACCCGGTTTCCGCACCATCGGCCATTCCTCCACCCCAATCCTCTGCCCCCGGACCAATGCCGTCTTGCTCCTGTTCACCATCGATCCCTCCCCCCAGTTCACCGTCGCCCCTTGCCGATGAAGCGTCGGCTGTACCCCCCTCGCCTTGGCTACCGGCACCCCGCGTCGACTCGCTGCGGGCGTCGTCGGCAGAGTCTCCGACGTCACCGTCGGTTGTCCGCGGCTTCTTCTCTTCGGAATTTCGTTCCCCATCGCTCGTACCCGCCGCGTCCAGCTTCGCAGCAGCAGCAGCGGCAGCAGCAGCCCCCGCGCCAGCGGCCTCTTCCGATGCGAACTTATCGTCGAGCAGGTTGCTAAGCGCTTCCTCGCTCGTACCCGCGTCCAGCTTCGCAGCAGCGGCGGCAGCAGCAGCAGCAGCCCCCGTGCCAGCGGCCGCTTCCGATGCGAACGTATCGGCGAGCAGGTTGCTAACCGCTTCCTCCATGCGGTCTTCTTCCCCTTCTTCTTGGTATTCCGATCCTCCATCGGGCTCCGCACGCGACTGGCCCGGCTTTCCTCCTTCCTCCGCATGCTCTCCTTCGTCCACCCCGGCGTCGGTCCCCGTCTCGGCCGCACCGGTCGCCACGCTCCCCCCTCCTACCGTGAGGCTGTGCACCCCTTCCCCCGCCCCGCTTCCCCCCTCGCCAGCCTCGCCATCGTCGCTCCAATCCCCTTCCCCGTTTATTACCGCGCCCTCTGTCGCTCCCGCGGCCGAGGTCGCTGGCGGCGGTTCTGGCAACTGCCCCTCCTCCGGGAGAAGCGCCTTCTTCGAAGATGACGCCTTCGATGTGAGGGGCACATCCGCGGCGTCGCCGGGATCATCCCCCCCCTCCCCTTCTGCCGGCGTGTCCCGCAAGGGTTCGCTCTGTACCTGGTGTGTGCACCCGGGAGTAAAAGAACGATCGGTGTCCCTCCGTGGTGCATGTCGGAGAAGGCAGCTATTTGTCTATTCGGCCAAAAGGAACGGGCAGGGGGACACGGTACACCCTCCCGCGTCCCCCCGCCCGCCTGCTTGCCTGCCAGAACGGCTGGGTGGGTGGGTGGGCTTGCAGGAACTTGGTGAGGCCGTGGCCAGAGCAAAAACGACATGGGGTCGTGTAGGCTTGGGTTGGTAAGCGATGCTTCGCGTTGTCGTGGTGAAGAACAACGGTTACCGCGAAAGCGCAGCACGCACCTGGATGTTTTGCGCTACCGGTGCGCTGCCTCCCGTGGGTCCGGCAGAAGAGCGATGGTTATGTCTGATCCACAGAGTGAGGCAAATAGAGCGCAAGAGCACACCAACGGGCAAGCAATTTGGGCGTGGGCAGAGACAACGGGGAAGCACGCGCGAAACAAACTTACCACTTGACCGAAATGTTTCCGAAAGCAGCGTTCAAACACAGCGCCAGTTATATGGTGCAAGCTTATCATAGGTGATCGCGTGGTTCTTTTCCACTCGCGGAAGAACATCAACCAGTACAAGGTGGGTTGAGGATAGAGCAAGCGGGCTGCTGCAGCCAAAACTTAAGTCTTGGAATAAATATAAATAGCCTGCTTCCCGATACTCGTTGACGAACAAGAGCATCAGCAAAGGGACGCCGCCAGTCAGCTCCCCCCCCCCCCCCCCAAACTCATCCTGGGACACTATGCGGCCGTCAGGGCAGAACTGGGGATACACTCCCGACGATCGGGAAGAGACGCAAGGAAGCTTTCATGGCAGTATCGCATGAAAGGTAAGGGAAAGGAGAGGTACCGACAACGGCTTGGGAGGCAAAGCGGGCAAAAAAGAAGCGGGGAAGGTAACCCACGGAGTCGGTCAAGGCAGATGACGCATGGAAGGAGCTCGAAACTAACGACGGTGATACGCTGGAAACGGAAGGTCTAGAGGGGTTCAAGGAGAAGATATCTGTAGGTTTTGCAGAGAGGAACAGAATCAAACCAAAGAAAACAAGGATAAGGAGGGCCTACATGTGTACGGAACGTGAAGGAGTACGGTTCAAGAGTTGCCTCATGGAGCAATGGATGCAGCGACAAAGCTGACGGTCAAATAAAGGACAGGGGACATTTGGCCGTCTAGAACGTAGACGAACATTAGAAAAGTAGGATGGTGAAGAAAAAAATTTCAATTGTGAATGCGGCTTCGAGTGCGAAGAACGAGTTCATGTAGTTGCGGAAGTTCGTTGTGCAAGAAGGAGAGGGAAATGCGCATGACAACGATGGGAAAAGTAGAGGGAAGATACAGGGAGATGATTGAGGCATAGAATAGCCAGGAGAAGACAGCAGCTGTACTGGGGCAACAGGAAGTCGGTTGAAAAGGCGGGAAGTGATATCGATACGATAGATAGACAAGGGAAGATGTTGTTCGGCCGCCTTTGGCAAAGTAGGAAGGAACGATTAGCCATCGGTGATCGGCCCTGTGGGAAGAATGCTTCGTGCTCTCGAGTACGCGTGGTCAATGGTCTAAGCGCTAGGGCACACAAAACGCACGAGCGCACGCCCCCTCCTCCCCCCGAATTCTCGACCGACAAGTATCACAACTGCAGAAGAGAAGCTTCATACCGTAGGTGCTACATATTCCGAGAAGAACTCACAAACTGTCCGAGTAGTACGAAACATTCCAGTACAGCACCGCGACCATGCATGTCCCTAGAACTACGACGGGGACGGCCGAGCGGGCTCGCGAGCGCCCTCCTTCCAGCGGACCCTGAACATACGGTCATCAAGGGACAAACGAAAATGTGAAGGCATCTTCCGTAACCATATTAGATGACAGGCGGTCTACCTGTAGAATCGTTGAGCGGTAGCGGGTGGTGCTATGGAACATTTGGACAGGTAGCCGAAGGGCACGGGAAGGGAAGCCCTGCGAAGATGCTATACAGTCGGGAGGATATTTCTGGTCGCGAACAAGTGCTATGGCAGCGTGTCACACGACGACCTGGCGACACACAAAACGGTAAAAGGGATGGGATGCAGGAAGTGCGAACAAGTCGCGCGCATACCAAAAAGCACAGGACGTTTCGGCGTCGCATGCAGCCGTATATGGAGCGAGTGAAGTGCGATACATACCCTCGTTCTCTATCTTCTAAGCTGGGCTGGTGCGCGTGTACACCGAACCGAGGTGTGCATGCATCACTTCGTTTTCAGAAAATACTTGACATCTTGTAAAGAAACAACGTTCCCGATAGAACCACAGCAGTTAAGGGGATGGGTTCAAGTCTTGACGGTGAGTGGGAGGACAACCAACTGTATCCCGGGCCAAACTCGAGTCTGTTGAAGCCTTAGACTGAGTCATAGCTTGATGTCGGTTGCTGCAATGCATACATGCACACAAGGCGTTCTGGTTGATCTCATGTTTTGTTTTGAAGGCTTCCACTTCGAACAAGAAACCAGACAGCAAGCACCCAGCATCTTGCGCATAGGACGGCTCCGTAACTTACGCAGCCTCACGTATCGGTTACAAGTATTGGGGTGTATTCATATGTACGCACACCGGTTGGACTACAAACTTGTGGAATATACGCCGTTCGTTGTGTGCCAGAGAGTCCTCCTGTGTGCCTCCGCAAAAACTAAGCGGCAACGCTAAACACCCCACCGGGTAAGTTAATTTCGTAATTTCTTAACCCGTCCGCATGGGTATCTCCGCCCGAACTCTTAACGGACATCACGGACCTGGTCTTGAACCGATTCGAAACTATGTCGATGCTTGATTCGAAACCCATGCATACGTCGTGCTCTTCTGCTGTTTAATGGCCCAAACGCAGGCCAGTCATCCTTGTACAGCTCTTGGAGCTTCAAATATTCAAACCTCTGTTCCCAACGACTCCAAGTTCCGTGGCTCGGCACATCAGACAGCGGGAAAGCGCTGGGAAAAAGGCCACGAATCAATTCGACGAATCTGCTGCAGCTCAGCAACGGAACAGACGGTGAGGATGGAGAAGACGCCATGCTTTCTGTGCACTAGAGGAGCGCCGACCTCTGACACATAGCAGTACCCAAACTTGAAAACCTGCCACACACCTGTCTCTTGTGCCCGACGCAGTATGCATGTACTCAGTTCCACAGTGGATGCAGGCATGTATGTCTAGCAAACTAGACTACAGAAGCAGATCCACCGGAACCAGAGAGACCCGCGTCGTCTCTCTTCTGCCGCGACCAGCTTGGCACAGGGAGCGCGAGCCAGAGCACATGCGTGATTGCCAACACTGAGTGCCCCAAGACGGGCAAGGCATGATGCATGCAATCTGGCCGTATTCTGTTCGGCGGGCCCGGCGTACTGGGTGAGCGGAGAGACTACGGCAGTAATCCTCTCTGCTTGTATTGTATGCATAAACCCACCCCGCACGTTGTTATAGCGAGTTGCGGCTTCTATCACCACTGCTGTATCGCACCTGCCTATTCCGCCGCCGGCTCTGAGCTACCCCCGTGATGCGATTCATTCCAAAATATACCGTGCTATAGACGCTACCCAGTGATGCAGCTGGCTCCGAGTCCACGTACGGAGCGCCACACCCTCGTCGACTGGCTTGATGTGCCACACTGACACGATTTCCGCTTCGGCAAACCTGCCCACTTGGCGTCCAGCAGGGGGCTCCGTGAATGCGGCGTGCTTCGCTCGTGTGTACGGTACTATCCGCGGACCGCGGAGACAAGGCGATCTTTTCTGTGTAGATCTGTTTTTATCTCTGATTGCACAAAGGCTGCCATGTGCAGGTCTCTCCCTGTCCGCCCCCTGACTACACCCGCCTACCTCTCCTCAAGCTAAAATTTCCAAGTTCTTCCGGCCGGCTGAGCGGGGGCGTGAGCCATGGCTTTGTCGCGGGTGGTTCGTTGCTTGGGAGCCTGGTTGCTCGTACGGGACGCCCTCCTCACGCCTAGGATTCCTGGCCGTTGGGGCACAGCAGCACACCTTCTTGTGACTGGCCGCTCGGCATCATCAACGCCAGGAACAGCAGGAGGAGCACCTTCTGAGGAGGCGGTAGCGTCGGCGGTAGCGCGTGGGCAGGAGCTGCTGCTCGGAGGACTCCTCCATGAGGCGGTCGATGTGCTCGAGGGAGTTCTTGAATCCGAACCCGAGGAGCCGAAGGCACTCCTGCACTTGGCCCAGGCTCTCGCCCAGCTGGGGCACCCTGTGCGAGCAGTGGAGCTCCTGGACCGGCTGTTAGGCCTTGGTCAAGTCACTCCTGAGTCAAAGTCCTTTGTGCTAAACCGACGCGGCATCTATCTGATGGCTGCAAATGACTTTACTGGCGCGTGTAAGAGTTACGAACGGGCGCTTGACGGTCGTGGACATGGGCACATCAACAGGCATGCTCTGTATAACCTTGCCCGCTTGCTGCACTTCCATGTACTTCCATCCGAGATAACGATACCGGATTTTTCTATCATTGAACGCGCTATCGAGCTCTATCGAGAGGCACTTGGTCCGGGCGGCGATGGCATAGGAGGCCCAGTTGACCGATCTGCAATTTTCAGAGACATGGCGGCGGCTCTCATGTTGGCCGGCCGGGTCGAGGAAGCCATCGCAGAGCTCGAGTACGCCACAGCAGAGATGTCGCAAGACGTGGAAAACGCTACCAGTAGCCCCATCAGCAGTAAGAGATATAGCGATGGTGATGCCGATAAGAGCGGGGGTGTCGAGGTGGCGGCTCTGACAACGGCGGAGACCGCAGCAAGGAACAAAACTGCGGCTTTCCTGTGGGATAGCCTCTCAAGCGCTAGATCAGCTGCTGGAGACATATCCGGTGCGGTGGCCGCAGGTAGGTTAAGCATCACTGCTTGATCAATCGATGGGAAGCAGTTTCATTGCGCGAAAAATTGAATGTAGACAACGCAGCCTACTCCTATCGGGTGTCACAAGCATGCACTGTGCATATCTGTCTGTTACACGGTATCAAGAAACGGATTGCACATTAATGTCACGAAGAGCGTCCAAGAATCATCAACAACAGGGGGTAGCATTTTTGTACTCTTTTTGCGGGATTTGAATCCCGACGTTGTCTCCGGCAAGGAGGCCCTTGATTCCGGGTTGTGCACATGTGGTGGCGATTTTCATGTTCTACTTGGTGAGACGATACAACGCCTTACACCTGTACGTCTTGACGTTTCAGGGAGAAAGGCACTCAACCTTGTGGGCGACGAGCCCGGTCTCTACCACAATATGGCGGTGGTATTCCAGGTGATATTGCGGCTAAAGCCTGGTCGCCCGAGTTCCATCCTGTTCGTGTTGTTTTGCTTTCAAATGTTTGACATGATATTTTGAGTTTCGCTGTTGAAAGAAATGCGCAATGTAAATCGTGATCGACACCCAACACTGTGTCGTGTTCGAGCCGGCTCCGCCAATGTGGAGTCGCCTCAACCACCGTATGGTTTCGTTTTCGTAGCGCGCATAGAAGGAGCCAGATTGGGGAGCTTCCATCCCCAGCTCTACTAAAAACGTTGTTGTGCTCGAAACGGCTTCTTGTTGAACTCGGCCGAGCGATTATCTGAGGACATAGATAGATGACCACGTGATTGTTCGAAGATGAAACAGCGCGTGAATTATCGTTGTGGTGGTTGTGGGCAAGAACCCACAGCAGCACGTGTCTAAATAGTAGGGATGTGGCGAGTCGTGTCGAGCGAACCCTCTCCGTTGCCCCATCGGGTCGTGGAGAGTTGTCGACGACCGGATGCCACCCCACCATACTTGAATGCCCCATGGCCGGTTTCCTGCGATGACTTTCACGATTTTTTCTTGGAGCGCAGAAGGCGGGGCTGCTCGAGGAGGCACGAGACGCCTGGCTCACCGCGGTGGCGATCGACCCAGTCTGCGCACCCGCCCTTGCCGGACTAGGTCACCTAGAAGGAGCAAGGGGAAACATCGGACAGGTACGGGACGAGCTTGCCACGATTCTAGATTCGGTTCACGGACAGGCGCGGAACCTTGTCGTATCTGTCGTCTCCTTTTTTTTTTTTTTGTAGTTCAAGCTTGAGTCGCTTCGTGCGGTGTACCACAGAGACGTGGCTCGAATAAAGCCCTGTGCTTGGCCGTATAGGTTTTGCCACAACTTTGTTTGCACGTGATAAGACGCTACTGCATCAAGACTACAGCGACCTTCCTTCGAGTCACAAAAGACAGCACCAAAGATGCTGGTGGTGATCGCGCACAAGGGACGTGAAACATTCTCGATGCCTCAACAAGTAATTGGTTTCGTCAACCATCCACTCGACGAATCCTACCTCATGAATTCGTCACCCCGCTTTGTGCTCGACACATTTCTGCACCGATCTTGGGGGCCGAAACAGGCACGGGCGTTCTACGAAGCATCCCTGGTGGCTTTGCAGTCTCCCGAAGTGGGCAGCAACAGTGGTCACAGCCACATCACCGATCAGGATGGACAACTAACCTCGATGTTCCTTGTCGCCACCGCGGTTATCCCCGCCCTCTACGAGTCGAACGACCATATTGCGAAGGTGTGCTAGCGGCAAAGGCTGTGTTTAGCACGTGCCTCCACAAGCAGGGCCGCTGCGACTGCAATCTGGGGGGTTCTTAGTCAATACAGAATAAAGGTAGCTGCCGCAGCTGTGGCACTCACAGCAGCAGCAACAACACCAATGTATTCAACAGTATATCTCCATTTCAGTTGCTGTGTCGCCAGCCTCCCTCCTTCACGAGTCGCGTGTGCCAACGCAGCGAACCAAGGCGAGACATTAAAGCTCCAGCCGCAATGTTTCCACAACTACGGCGTGCTCAGCCATCCGTGTTATCCTCGATGCATATTTGGCGCGGTCTCATGTGTTTTTGATAGGTTCGCCGCGACTTTGAAAGTGGCCTAGACCATCTGCTAGCCGAACCCATGGACGCCGCTTCGACAGGAGTGGAACGTCCTTCGACTACCGTTGGATCGGGAGCACTCGGCTACTATATCGTATATCAGGTACGAGCCAGGCCCTTCAGTGTTCCAGAGTCTGTTCCTCGAATGTTGTATCCGTGACAAGTAACACCTAATGCCACGTAATAGCAAATCCAGTGCTATCTGCACAGCCGTATTTCCTGTCTGGCGAGGGCGTTTTTCGGATGTATTGATATGTCACGTGGATGTTCACGGCCCGACCACAGCTCCGCGTGCCGACCAGAGCCCCTGCAACTTTCCCTCTCCACGAAGAGAGAGGGTTTTCGACACTAGCACGTCACGCCAAAGTCTCATCGTGTGTTCGCCCTCGGCATACCGAAGCAGGGCTTCGAAGACGTGGGAATACGCCGGAAGCTCGCGCGTGCTTACTGGAAATTGGCCCCGTCGCTCAGGTGAGCATGTATGTATGTAAACATCGTGAGCATCTACAACCAGGCCCCCCGCCCCCCGCCTCTGTGGCTGTGCCACGAGCAACTCATTGGCAGACCAAAATCATGCCCTCAAGCGCACAGCACGTAGTGTTACTTCGAGTACGTTTGTCGTGCGTGCATCAAGCCAGTCCTCTGTTTTCTCCCCAACGTGCCCGTGTTGGGTGTGCCGCTGCTTCAGGTACTGCGCCCCATTCCTGGCAAACGATGACGACTTGTCTACCGGACACTACGTACCAAGAGCAACAAGTGACGTCGTGCCAGTGCCTGGCGAGCTAGGTCCGCCGACGGTAGGAAAGCTGCCGGAGGAGCAGCAGGATTCACTTAACAGGCCAGCAGACGGGGCGGACGTGCCGCCGTCGGGAGTACGAGCGGCCCCCATCCAGTCGCCGGCTACGGGAATTGAGAGTATGCCTGCAGGGGTGGGAACGGCGAGCAAGGCTCGAGAAGATCTGGACGGCATGGGCAGCCGTAACACGCAGGCGTCGGCTTCATCACCACTGCCGTGTCGTCGCCGTCGCATCAGGGTGGGCTTTTTGTCGGCGTTCTTCTACACGCACTCCGTAGGCCTACTGATAGAAGGGGTTGTGACGCGGTTGGACCGACGGCAGTTTGAAACTACCGCGATTTTTCTTCAGCCCCACCCTTCCTCTGCATCATCAACGTCCTCTTCGTGGCGGGGCTCAAGGGGAGGAGGGGTTGCCGGAGATGGGGGAGATGGAAAGGAGAACAGCGCGGGGAGGGACCATGTGTACGATGCGGTGCGGACCGGCGTGGAGCATGTGCTGGACGTGCCACTCAGCAGGTACACGATCAGGCGCGAACATTGTTGTCCTTCATTTCGCTATGGCTTTAAACAGGCCTGCTGTGGAGGGTTGTTGGATGCCTTGAATTTCGTGTCAGCCTTGTGGCTGGCTGGTCGCCTTCCGTTTCAGCTGTCTCTACTCGTTCAATTTCACGTGTCGTGGCGAGACACCGATCAAGCAACACGGTTGGTTGCCGGAGGATACCTCGCGAACACAGCATTACCCCGTTTCATGCTCTCGGTACCCTCTTGGACATTGTTGACCGGGCGCTACAAGCCAGTATATAGATACAATTCGCTTATTGGTGCATCCATGAAGTGCCGTTGCCACAACTAAAACTTTGATATCGTGCCGCTCGCTACGTTTTCTGTCGACAGTCTCGCCGCGTGCCGCCATGCCATCGCGTCGCTCCAGCTAGACGTGCTTGTCTTCACTGAGATTGGTAAGCCGGTGTGGCAGTATGAAGTCAGACGGTTGTCGCTTGGTAGAGAAAATAGTATAACGTGTTGTACTCCTGATAAAGGAGCACGGCAGGGTGAGCAGGTAGACTCTCCCAACCGTTCTACTACGCTCAGCAAGTTTGGATTGTTGGTTTCGGGTATCGCGCTGTGTTGGGGCGTCAGTGACGAGCTCGAAGCCTCATAGCCGCGGGGTGGTTTCACCAAACATGCCTTCCCCTTGCTGCTACGAGTAACCCGACGACGAACCAAGAAATAGCCGCTGCACACAACGGATACCTCGCACTTCCACGGAATAATCATCCTTATTTCGTCATCCTTATCACCACTTTCCCCCCCACCCACCTCACTCCCGCGCCGTTCTGTGCTCCTTGACCTGCCTCCTAAACTAAGGCATGAACAACGAGTCGTACTTCTTGTCCTTCGCCCGCCTGGCGCGAAGATCCGCCGCGTTTTGGGGGCACGCCGTCACGAGTGGCATCAGTGCTTTCGACGCTCTCTCCACGCTCAACGGCGACGCCGACGACCCCGACCCAGCCGCGGGGGTGCAGGCGGCGAGCGTCGGCGTTGCCGACGATGATGCTGTAGGAGGGGTCGACTACTTCGTGTCTTCGTGGCTGTTCGAAGATGTGGGCCTCGGCCGGCGGGCCCAGCGCAAGTACAGCGAGAGGTGAGCCAGCATGAAGTTCCTACGTGCTGCAATGTGTCCTCCATCCAGACGACAGGTGTCCACCTAAGCGGGGAGTGAGGTTCATGGGGTGGGTTCGAGAAGTTTCACGGGACTCAAATGGAAAATACAATACATTCGAGGAGATTTGTCAAGGCAGGAAGCATCTCATCTGGGACCCTTGCTCCTGCTTTCACCGTCTCGATTCTTTGCTGCCTCTACCGACTACTCTGCTTGTCCTCGTGTTGGCTATTACTCCGTGTCGTAACAACAATCGTAGGCTCCTCCCATCCTCCCCGCCCCTTCTTGCACTGTCTTAAACCCTGCTGTCTCCCCCTCGGGTGTGCGTATCAGGGTGTACCTGATGAAAGGTCTCACGACGCGGTTCAGCCGCCCAACTCCTTCTGTCCCAGGCCTCGTTACTCGAGAAACCTTGGGCATACCTCCCCGGATCCTCCCGCCTGGTCGGACTGGCAACCCTTTCCAAGTTTCGTCCGGCGATAACACCGTCGCTACTCCTACCGGTCCTGCTTCTTTCGAAGCTGACAAAGATGCTTCTTTCGAAGCCGAAAAAGATGCTTTCGAAGCCAACGAACAGCCCGGAAGAACTGCTGCAGACGGACGACCGCTTGCGGTACCACCGACTTGCGGAGCGCTGTACCTGGTGCCCCAGACTCTGTACAAGCTGCACCCGGACTTCGATCAGCTTGTGGCGGGGGTGCTGAGCGCCGACCCGTCCGGGTGCGCGGTCTTCATACGAGCTTTGGAGGCCTACATGACGGAGGGACTGGTGCGGAGGATGTCAAGAACGCTTCTGGCCGCCGGCGTGGAGCGGGAACGAGTGGTGTTCGTTCCCCGGTGGGTCGGTCTGAATCCTTCCATTGCCCCGTTGGACAGGCTGTAAGCGAAAGCAATCAAAACGTCCGAACCAGAATGATTGACGCTTGCCTTTGGAACCAATTCTCTGTGGCAAGGAGGTCCTCTAGCAAATTCGCGTGCTCTTGTATAGCGCATGACTTGTATCGAGATGACCTACCTCAGAAAATGCAGGTACTACAGCCCCAACCTATCGGAATTCTGCCACGGCGGTGGCCATCAATTTCATTTTGAGCATCGATTCTAGGCCCGTATCGGTTTTGGTCTCCTCTATCACCATTGCGGACCTCCTGGTCCCCTGCTTGGCATGCTCTTGCGACAGTGGAACTTGCGCCTCAGTCGCTAGGATCCTTGGGGGTCTTAGGTTAATAGGCTATATTTTTGTCTAACGTAGACGTCAGGACCAAAGAGCACCTTTGAGCGACACCACGACATCACAACACGGACCTCACGCTAACGCTTGCAATTGTGTTCTCCACGGGACGGATTCCACGGCGTGGGTTCCACGGGATGGGTTACACGTGATGGGTTTCACGGGGCGGGTTTCACGTGATGGCTTTCACGGGACGGGTTTCACGGGATGGGTATCACGGGATGGGTTTCACGGGACGGCTTTTTACCATCAGGGTGGGGCTGAAGGAGTTCTCGGGCCTGGTGGAGCTGGCCGACGTGGTGCTGGACCCCTTTCCCGTTGGGGGCGGCCGGTCGTCCTTAGAGATCTTCGCCGTCGGCGTTCCCATAGTCATGCTGTACAACAGGACGTCTATCCTCCAGGTGGGACGCCATGTGACGAAGGACCCGTGTGCTTTGTGCCCTTCGACAAAGCCGTGCCTGGCGTCTTTCGTCGCTGTAGTATTCCCACCACCTACGACACGGCCGTAAAGGTGCACTCACGGTGCCGCTTTTTTTGCCGTGACTTCAGAGTGGTATTTCATGGGGCCTGGGGTTCCAATTGCAGCCGTCGTAGCGTCAAGCTTCAAACAGAGAGAGGAGTGCCTAAGCAGCCAAACACGTGTGACTCCTGGACCCTCTTCCGCCCGCGATGGTTCACTCGACTGCTGTGAAGCATCATCTATATATCGTTGGGATGCTCGCGTATCGAAGGCCAAACATGAGCTTCGCCGGGCCATAAAACTAGTTCACCTTTGCACCCACCACCGGCTACTAATTGATCCGCATGCTCGCGGTTGCCCAGAAAAATCCATCAAGATATGAGTCCGATAAATCTGGCTTACCGTCATGTCGGACCCTGCGCATTCGTCCGGCTGTCACTTCGACTGGCTCTCACTACCGGAACGTGTTCCCTGATTCTATGCCCAAACCATCGTGCAGTTGACCTACGGCATGTACGCGACCATGGGCCTGGAAGGAGCTGTGGGCCAAACGACAGGCTCGAGCGGAGTTGCTGGTGGCCCCGTGGTGAGATACATGGCACCTCGAACAGACGGGATAAGACCGCCACAGCTTGTGACAGGCTCGCGCGATGGTGGGCTCTATCCTGTCCCGTCAGGCTGTTTGAAACGTTGTTCGTCGCGCCAGAGGCAATGACCCCAGCATGGGTACAGGGATGGATAATCAGCCAGAAGAAAATTGAATGGTGATGTTACCGACTGAGCTCGTAAGCATGGTTCTTGAGGTACCTGCTTCGAATCGTCCACCCCCGGTCGCACGCCCAGAAAGTGTTCATTTTTGTCGCCGACCGGCACCTCATCGCGACCTTCCTGGCACAATTGACGACATGTTGCGGGTGCTACTATTATTGTTGTATTTTTGACGTGAAATGAAAGCCCGTCCCGATCAATTCGCGTTCATGTTCAGCATGTTCAGAATTTACACACACAAGGATGTGAAGATGGGCGCTCGGTGCGTACATTCCTTTCTGCATCGGAATGGCTGCGTGCACCCTCGTTTTTGCAGTCACTGGTGACGTACTCGGAGGATCAGTTCATCCGTAGCGCCGTTGCCGTCGCCACGGATACGGGGCTTAACGGGCGCTCCAGAGAGCTAATTCTCGCGAACAACCATCGGTGAGACAACCCGATTGCGCGTCGTCCGGCCGCACGGGAAAGTGTAAGAGATAGCGAGGGTAAGTATGGCATTAAAGGCAGGGATTCGTGTACGATATGCCTGTCTGCCCCATGAGAGTTGAATTACTGTCTCGATAAGAAGGGCAGCAGAAAATACTGACCCTCATGTCATCAACCACTCGACAGCACCGCCGGCTAGCCACTTCTCGTCGAGTAGTGTCCTGTGAGCCAATTCCTATCACTGATGGTGCTGCCCTCCAACAAGTCATTTCAACAAGTAACGTTTTTGGATTATGTGAGACTCCGAGTGTGCGACATACGCGTGTGCCTGTGCTGCCAACTAACTCCCAGTCTCTACGAACAAGACACGGTCATCACGGAGTGGGAGCACTTCCTTGAAGGAATCGTCAGCGTTCCCCGCCCTGCCGCCACCGACCTGGGGCATGGGCTACACAAAGACCTTGCTGTCGACGTCTCCAACTTTCCCGCGAAGCTCCCGTGGTGTAGGTGTGCCCCTTGGCTGTAGTGAAGTTGGTGAAAGAATTACCGCCTGTGCCACTGATGACGATGTCAGCGTTTGCGGGCTAATGGTCAAGCTGAGGTAACTACTGAAAACTCTATATTTCGGTTGCTTCTTTGTTCAGCGATATTTCGTGTCAAAGTGTCTCTTCACGCGAAAAATGTGGGTAGAGCTAAAGAATGTTCTTTGCAAAGTGAGGGGGGTGTCGGCGAAATTTCCGCTGGGCAGGGTTCACGCTCGATGTCATTCAATCCCTAGCCTCGTCCTACTATCGCTACAGAAGTTCTCGCATGGTGACTCTTTGGTCAGGACCACAATTTGACAGATTTTCGCACCCTGGGCACCCACCGACGCCAACGACTTGCACCACCACCAGCAGCAACAACAGCAGCAGCAACAGCAGCAGCAGCAGCAGCAGCTACCATGGCATACCTAGGGACAATGAAAGTGTAGACGGCGAAGGTAGGCACAGGCAACACCACCAGGCGGTGCCATCGGCAGGGGAAGGCTTGGATGAACTTGGGAACAGCGCTCGTGGTATTGCTATGCCCGAGGGTGTGGCTGCAACTGAAGCACGTACCCAGAGCAAGAGTATTGGTCAGACACCAACGGAGACGTCGGCGTCGACTGTATCAGCAGCCACGGCGCCCTCGCTCTCGTCGAACTTTGACAGCTCTCACCCAAGCGTAGATGACGTCAACGGTATCAACGCTGATGTCAGCAACAGTCGTGTTTCCGACAGCGGACTCGTGGGGGACGATCTAGCGGCGGCCAAGCCCTCATCGGAGGTGCACGGCCCTCAGCCAAGCGGGGTCAGCGTCGACGGCAACGGCAGCCCTGATGCCAGCGCCAATGTTGATTCCGATGGCAGTCTAGTCGGGGGCGACTTCGGGTCGGAGCCTCTCTACGCGATCGAGTTCTCCGTGGCACCACCGCGCGAGGGAGAGCAGCCGTCTCAACTTTTGGCCGAGGTATCTGCGTACACTGCATACGATGGGTTGTTGACCACGCAGAGGAAATGAGGGGGGCGCGGTGCCACATGCGAGAGTCCGAAGATCGCTGTTGCCTTGGTATCATGCCCCCCCTGCGGACAATGGTTGGTGGAAAACATTGCTACTTTCCCCTCCGACTGCCCAAACGCCACATGTGCTTCGCCTGGTGCTGTAGCTCCGCCTGGAGAAAAAGGCCCTTTCAAGTCATCCCCACCCTCTGCATTGACGTATGGCCTCCCAGTTGCAATATCTTGCATGATCATGATTTCGAGTTATATCTGTCGTGTTTTGGAGCTTTCTACCAAGCTCGCTCGGGCCACTTCCCGAGTCTGCGGATCAAAACATTTTTCTGCATACCAGCACCAGCCAAAGCGCATACGGTTGGGGTTCATTATTTGGACTCATTCCTGTTTCCTGCTCTACACGCCGCGTCTTTTGCACCGTTGCCCAGCGGCCGAACCTCAGTTCGTGGAGTTGCCCTTCTTCTCTTTTGTCCCACGGTACATGCCAGAGTCCTCTCCCCTCACGACTTCAGTATGAAGGCCGCCCTGGCACTATATTCTTGTGTCGCAACTATTTTGCCCCGGGGGCACTCTTCAATTGGTGCTACAACGAGGTCGGAGTCGCCCAACAAGGACAACTGTAGTCCAGCCTTGTTGGAGTGGACATTAACCCGCTACACCCAAGACACCGATACGCGCCGAACTCGTCACATCAATATCACATGCCTCGTGTGTCTTGCTAGTTCCCAAACTTTTCCCGCCTTCGTCTCGCGTCTGTACCGCTCGGCCACGGCGTCACAGCTGTACCACGGCAGCAATCCTATGGAAGTCGCGGACAGGCTCAGGGAAGAAGGAGAGCTGGACTACCTCCAGTACAGGTGGATCGGTGCCGTGCTCTGCCGGGGGATCAAGCGTCTAAATCGAACGGTGGTATGGTCGAAGTACGTGACGATCGACGGCGGTCCGAGGCGAGTTGTGCGATATTGGTACATGGAGTGAAAAATGACGAACTATGCCAAGACCCCTCTACTGGAGCAAGGCATTGCAAGCACAACACAACACCACCTTCCAGTGCAAAAAGACACGGCATTGTGAGATATCAAATTGATAATAATGAACCCAAATAAATGGGGCATTTTACGATGCCTGCTACCTTTGCACAAGCTTGTACTCCACACCAACACGCCGCCCCGCCGAAGAAAGTTTTGGCGACTCCTTCTCCTTTCACAGACTGAACTATTAATATATCGTTTTCGAGACGTGCAACAGTGGTGTACGTGCTCCCGGCGGCAGACAACACCCCCTCGCATCAGCAGCTCCGCAAGGGCAAAACACCAACATCAGACGAACCTTCAACGCCAGACGAAGAAACGGTTTGGTTCACCTTCTGCGCCGAGATCGGGACGATCAATAGTTGCGGCCAGCAGAACTGCAAGCGCGCTTCGCTGCAATGGTCAAAACATTCGGCAAACAACGTGCTGTAGAGCTTTGCGAGAGAGTCCAGAGTGGGAAAGCCAAAGTCAGAAGCAGTCTTGCACCCGTCCCCTACCCTACCAATGCCTTTGAAAGGCTTTGTGCAGTTTCGATATTTTTTCGCTTTGACTACATAACCCGGGCTTGATACCAGTAAAACAACCCATTTTTTCTGTTGTTTTTTTATGGATATATTTCTGCACTCGACGGCCCTCGGGTGCGATCCGATCGGTGCCTCTTGAAAACGCAGGGCCCTTCTGGAGGTTCGGCAAGGAGACGAACTGTACCAAGTAGCCCGATGGCATTGCCGGCGCTATTCCTTGGGCCCAGAACGGATACCGGTTCTGAATACAAGACTCGAAAAGGTAACGAGTTTCGGGAGGTGCCGGTTTGTCTTGCGAGAATGTTTCGAGCTTCGTGGAGAAAAGGACAAACACGCACGTTTCGCCGATACGTTTCGAGAAGGTCATCTGATTCTCCGCGTCCCCTCCTTCAGGCAATAGCATCTACCACGCACTGCGGCGACGCACTGTTTCTTCACTGAAATGACGTGGGACCCCACCATCAGACAAGGTTGGACCGGGCAGAACAGATGTGAAGATGAACGCACGACCTGGATTCCGTATGCCCAGGGAAGGACGGGGTCGGAGTGGGCGAAACCGGCCACTATCGCGCTTATTTGCTAGAAAGTACTCTGTGATGGCAACGGTGGATGTGATACAGACAGGAGCAACACGTACAACTATTGATACTCCTACGTTCTCAAAATAACAGTGCACGATGCGTGTGCGTTCGCTTACTTGCGCGTCTTGTCATCTTCCCGACCCCAGGAACTCCCTCAGCACGCCGACCCCGAGTGGATATCCTCGAGGGCGGAAGACCGAGCGTGCTCGATGCCAGAGCCCACGTCACGAACGCGATACTATTCGTTATTTTCCTCCAATAACGGCACAACGGGAAATTACCCTTTCCCAGTCTCCCGCGCTTCAAATGGTGACCAGCGGGCAACGCTTAACTCGCCACCCGTGTCAGCCCCTAGAGGAGCATCGAGAGAGTTTCGTGGGCGTGGTGACGAGGTTGGCCGAGGAGACTTATTTTCCGCTCAGGGTGATGTTTGGGGTACGGGCCAGGATGACGACGACAACGACAGTGGGTGTGTCACCCTCGCCATCACCACGTGCAAGCGCCTTCGGGCGTTCTTGGGGACGGCGGAGGGTCTTCAGGCATGTTCATTCGAGGGCGCTCGCACCCACCCTTGACAAACCTAGGATAGATTCGTATTCTCTCAATTTCCCCCACGGGTCGTTCGGTTGAACGTTTGTCGGTTGTAGTCGCTCTGAGTGCCGATGGCTGGGTCGTGTAAAAGTGTCCAACGCGTCACGATCAATCTGTCAACTCCAAGTGTTGATAGGTCGACCGTTCACAAAATTATTGCCCAAATGTTCTCCACCTGGTGCCCTCGCTAACGAAAATTGTTGTTTCCATTCTGTACGTTGAACAGTGGAGACAAGTTGCAACAGCACGCGTGCGTGCGCGTCGTCCTTGCTGTGGCGTTGACGCCTCCCCACACGTGGTACCGCTGACGACTTTCTCACCATCGAAGTGAAACAACCTATCAAGGGAAATCTGAAGGAAATACTCGCCGCGAGTCGTAGCCCCCCCATCATATCCTCCCCATATTCATGTTGAGGTTTGAACACCTATTTCCTCAAAGAAAGGTTCAAGAGTACAAACACCATAACACAGACACATAATCGCTCCACCGAGCATTCACAGCACCGTGGTCGTTTGGCAAGGTTGCTAACCCGACCAACGCTACACGATTGATGAAAGCAAAGCGTGCTCCATTCCAATGCTCTATGGATGTGACGAGCAGATGGTCTGCTGAGGACCACGTCCGCGTCTTGGTACCGAAAAACATCAACCCTCGGAAACGCCACCTGGTGCGCCTTTTCTCCCTCTTGAACATTGTGTGCATTGTCTCTCAGGTCTTGCTCGGGCCTCTCCGGCAAGGCGAAGTTGGAAGAGACATCGCGGGCCCAAGGGTATGCCAAGTTCTAGTCGTCGATGACGGTAGTTCTCCCAAGGACCGCGCGGTGATGATGTCGGCCTTCCCTCAATTCACCTACGTCTTCAAGGGGGCTGGTGACGCCAAAGGTGATTTTCGGCCTTTAACGGGCCAGTGAAATCGACAACCCCAAATGTGTGCATGATCCCTTTAGAGGGGAATCGTTGCCACCCAGAGAGAATTCCACCTCTTGTCACAATCAGCTATACGTAGTGCTTACGATGGCTATCTCGTTCGCTTATATAAGCTTCTCGAGGGACCACCCGGTTCAGTGAAAGCCAGATGTGGCTGAGAGGGCAATACCTTTCGCCAATCCAACATGGACCGCCCTGCGTGTGGTCTACACAGATAAACGAAGCAAGTCTGAATAGAATATTCATGATGTCCAGCGGTCCGCTCTCTGGACGAAGCCATTTAGACGATGAGCCGAAATATCGCAACTGTGAGTGCAGATGTTTTGAAAAGCATCATGGAGACTTACATATTTGCGTCGCCTCGTCGTTTGTGCAGGACACGCCGGCTCGATGAATATTATTTTGTCCCTGACCAAGACCCGGTACCTAATGTACGTGGAGGACGATTGGTGGGCTATTCACGATAACGACAAGCCTCCAACCCGCTCTGGCCCCCGAAATATCCTATGGCGTGCAATGGAGGTGCTAAAACGGTCGTCCGAAAGAGTGTCACAGGCAAGTGAATTCAGACGGGCGGTATTTCGCTTTGAAAACGAGTGCAGCGATACAATGATGTCGAGGGAGTATCATTGAAATTATGTGCATCATATATCATTCCTTTTTCTTACCGCTACCCATTTCGGACGGCAGACATTATCATCAAAGACAAATTAACTCGAGTGGCACCCGTCCTTGAATGTACGCATAACTATTGTCTACAGCAGATTGAAAACAATATCTGCGCGAATCAACTCCAAACTGTAGTATCCCGTACACCCGTTGACCACTGCCCCCAAAGACTTCCTTTTCTGTTCCTTTCCTCGTGATTCTCACTCCTCTTGGTCCATTCCCAGGTGCTACTGAACGACCAGTCGACCAGGCATTGCGCTTGGGGAGACACAGTCACGTGCACCCCCGAAGTACAGGGCACATTATCAGGCTGGCCGCGCCTCACTCACGCCACGTCAGTTTTGCCTCCACAACCCGGTCGACGACGAGCAGATTCGTCGAACACGACAGCGACAGTGGGCGACGGTGACAGCACCAACAACGGGTGCCGTGCTGGGGGTGGTTCAGAAGCGTTCTGCGGCGACAATGAAACGAGGGCGTCGCAGCCACCAGATCATGGCGTCTACAGCGATAGCACGTCTGCGGGAAAAAGCTCAGCCGATGAAAGCGTGGGGGTGGAATATCGGCTGCATGAGTTTGGTTTGCTGTCTCCCCTGAGCACCTTTGCGTACTGGCCTGGCTTTTCCTTGAACCCAGCGGTATGGGATCTGGCGAGGCTAGATGGCAGCTACCGGCGGAAGTACGGTCGGGAAATGGAGTTCAACGAGTCCGACATCAGGTCAGATATGCCATCGTGTGCATGTGCACCTGTGAACGTGTGTTGGTGTGCAACAATAACATGACATTCGTATTCACTCCAACGATAAACGGACAGACTAGATGGCACTCATGTTTTGATACCGTGAGGTTGTCTTGTATCTGCAATATTTTATGTAACGCTTTTCCATGGGACTACCACAATACGGGAGATTGATTTTTGGCCTCCAATCATTTCTCCGATCGACCATAACCTAGATCCGAAACCACCCTCCCCACCGTCGGCTGACCAACGCTTGTCCACTTGTCCACAAGGTTCGAAAAAAGCATATCGATGCAATTGTTCGACGCCGGCGTGACCGTGGCGCATCTTCCAGACTTAACATTCCGACATGTTGGGGGCATGCAATCGGCGTACGAGGCGAACAACATGCGAAGGCCATGGGACTGACCGATCAAGTACTACACTAGTAAATAGTATATCTATTGCATGCTGTGCGAAACATATGGGGACAGCCGGTGTGACTCATAAACGAGACCTGGAAACTAAATGAATATGTTGTGAATACATTACCGCTAAGTGTCATAATCGACACCAGGGAACCATGTGACAATGTATATCAGACGAAGATTGTACCGCTTGGTGCCGCAAACGAAACACGGAAACTGCATGGAAACTTCATGAACATTTCCGCATAGTTTCATAAATGAGACCCAGAAACGAAACGAGCAATATGAATCGTACCACTGGGAGGAAGTTGCATCCGATGGTCCCCGAATTGAAATCATTTTCCTGCATCACATGTTTCCTCGTGAACCTCACATCGTCACACAACCGCTTTCCGAGCCTTTGGACATTCGTTCTTTGCGATCCAACAATAGCACGTGTTACTGTCCTCTTTCTCTCCTTCGTAGTGCGATACCGCCGGAGTGAACTCTGGTCCCAACGTGCTCTTACGGATCGACTTGATGCCCCAGTTCGTCAATCACAACGTTTGTTGCTACCATATGTAATCGTAGCAGATGATCGCACCGTAGACGGTTCGGCTACGAGTCAGGAAAATCTTGCGTATGATTCAATTGGTTGTAACATTAGGTCGAATGAGAAGAGAGGTTGTTTACTCCATGGCGCGACCTGACCGCGACATCGTCCACCGCCCGCGGTACTGCACATCGTTGATTGCAGTCCCCTTTGCCTTTGGCGACTGCATTTTTTGTCTCACGCACTCCAATGCTGTTCGTTCCTCTAATTTGCGGGGTGCCGGCAGGAGCCTAAATGCCACGTTTTTGGATTAGCGGAGCATGCTTCCCCACTGAAACCAGTTCAGATAATTTCATATCTCCTGTGAATCGAACTTTGGACGACGAATTCGTTTTTCCAACCGACGCGTCCATGGTATAGGCCGTGCTCTCTTCGCGACGTGAAGCTCATCTGGAAAGACCAGGCGGGCCAAGAGGAACCACGCCCGTCAAAGAAATCATGTCCCGTCGTTCTTTCCTCCATTCAACTCGATGATAATATGCATATACTTCAGGGGGAGCATTGTGAACTGAGTGATGCTTCATGAGACTGCGGCAGCGCTATCAGCTCGAGCATTTTTCCGCCGCATCCATCTGTTCGGCTCTTGCCCACACTCATCGGTGCCACCCGAACCGCTGCCGGACAAAAAATAGTTTACGCCATGGGTGAGCGTTGGCGCCCTTCTCCAGGAAATAGGTGTAGGTGGCCAATTCACTTGACAGCCACACCTCGGCCGCGTTGTTGAAACGTCATTCGCTGAGATTGTGCCAAAACAGTTGCACGTAGGTGATGCCAATCTCTCTCTCGTTGGTAGTGTCATCCTTTCGGACCCTTGGCATTGATTGTGGTCGTTCCGGCACACACCCATATATATATATATATATATATATTTTTTCTCATATCATCGGATTCTGTCGTCTACCCTACTGGCCTCTATCGTCCCCTTCTACTAGCTAGACGACCCAACCGGGGTCACATGGGGTTGGGCTGGACCCCCTCCTGCGGTTCCTGCCTGAGGGAATTTTATCGCGACAAGGGTACAGTAATCCCTTCCCTCGCGACTTACGAAGTCGATTATGGTTTACTAACAAACGAGCTTTGCAGCGCGTCGCTTTCATCCTAGACCAGGTTTACTAACAACGACCTTTGCAATGCGTCGCTTTCATCCTTTTCATCCTAGACCAGGATTTATTTAGTGAGAAAACAACTCACTCTGCCGGGACTCGAACCCATGACCTGACCCTTAGTAGGCTGCAAGGTTACCCACTAGACCACCGGGGCGACCGGTGTGTACATCGGCAAGTACTGCTGTCAACGGAATACCATCGGCCACTTCAGACTCTCGGTCAGGGTGTGCTGCTGCTACACCGACAAGGCCGCCATCGAGCCCGCACAGAGCGAAAACACACCATACCTGATTCCCCTACCCGGCAAACAGCTAGCTGCCACTCCTTGAAACCATCTCGCCCAAAGACCGACTTCTACATTATCCCCTACGCAGCAATCCGATCTCGACCTCAAAATACCCTGCACAGGGATCCGATCTGCGTGTCCTCCAGTCAAAACTACCTCCGTGGACCCCTGCACCCGGTCTAAAGAAAGTGGACGTAGACGAGTAACACATGTACACCAGGCGAAGCACAAGGCCAACGAAAACAAGCGCACTCGAGAACGAAACTCAATTCCAAGCCGCTTCTATACACAAAATGTACGCGGTTATCACGATCCAATCAAGGGGGCTGGGCGAACTAGAAGATGGATACCACCGTGAGCCGGCGAGTGCTCCGTTTGCACCTACGCCTTTCGCAGACAGCAGGCCAAGTCTCAAAAACAGCAAGACCAGAGCGTGGTTGAACAGGACGACGCAAGGTTGTCCGAGCAAAGCGTGAGAAAATTCGCGAGGATAAAATAAAACTCCCGGCCTTCCAATGCAACAACCCTACAGCTCACATTCACAACGATATACGTAGGGTTTGCCTCAATTCCGACTGTAGCACGCATATGCACACGTCGATCGAAAGCGCGGCGGGAGGGAAGCCCAAAATGTAGAACCCTCGCGACACCCCGAGGGGCCAAGGTCGGGCCGCAAGGTGCATCGGCGGCAGCACCCATCTTTTCCTCTCCTGACGCAAAAGGTATGCGGCGCCACCACCCCCCCGGTCATGAGACAAACTAACGGTTCGCTGTGCCTCCGAAGGAGGACCGCATCCCCCCCCCGCCGCCGCCGCCGCCGCCGCCCCCTCCCACTCCACGGAAGCCTCCTCCTCCGCCACGAAAGCCTCCCCCGCCCATCCATCCGAAACCGCCTCCCATGCCCGGTCCAATCGGTCGAAAAAGACGGCCGCCTGCGGTACGGATCGGGATGGTAAGGTACGGTTCGGGTTGGCACCGGGATGGTATGATGTGGATCGGGATGATACAGTACAGTACAGTACAGCACCATACATAATGGTAAGGTGCGGTGTAGAACAGTACGCTGCGGAATGGTGCCGTGTGGTGCCGTAGGGGACAGGCAACATATACAGGTGCAAGGTCGTTGATGCTGGTTGCTGGTGCCCGTCGGCTGAGAATAGAACGTGGTACGCAGAACGCGCCATCACGGGCGAACCTGGGAATTAAGAACTTCAGCCTAAAAAAAGGCAACTTTAGAACAATGACCAAACAACAGGTGCGCCAGCTACGAATGCTACAATAAACTAGATGCTGGACGATGGGGTTACTGCACAGTGCTAACAAGACAGAAGCCTCGGCCGAGAAAAGCAAGTAGCTTCTGCACCTATTCGTTCTGCTGCTGATGCATCTGACAGTCATGTTGCCGTTCACTTCTCAAACCGAATTTCAGCTGCCGCAAGACGTTTGCGCCCTTGCACACGAAAGTCGGCGAATTCCTCGTTGTCATCTCACCAACCCCGCCCCCCCGATCCAGACAAGCGCACTGCCATGCCAACTACTCACCGCCAAACCCTCGAAGGCCCCTACCCAGAGCAAAGCCAGTTAGCCCGCCAAGGCCGAAGGGCCTCGCGAAGCCAGCGCCTGGGTGAATCAGCCGTGGCCTCGGACCCCCTCTTCTTGGGAAACGGCCACCCATGTGTTGCTGGGACGACATCAGACCGTCAAACAAAGGACCAGGCGAGCGGTTACGAAGTCTGGATACATCACGAAGCGGTGGGGTCGTACTTCTCGGGATACCCGCAAGAGGTCCCCGGCGGGGTTTCGGCTGTGGAAAAGTCGCTAGGAACTCGACCACGAATGACGAGATTGTTCACGGTTTCGTCTTGAGCGACGGGAACGAAACCACTTCCACGCTCTTGACAAGCGCATGCACTGCTGTCCGCCTTCTTGCGTCGTCTATCAGTCCGTCCAGGCCACGTGCCTTCCGAGACCCGTGGTACGCGGTTTGTCTTCCAAGCGGGGAGACCTCAGCACTAGGCCCCCCCTTCGGTGAGGAACGTCAACCTACCCGAGCCAGGAGACACACGACACATCCCGGAAGAACATCAAGCACTACACACGGCAATACACCATTTCTATAGCCTACCTGCTCATTGCCGAAAACGTCCTGCTGATACCGCCTCCACTCGGCCTCCCGCGGGTCTGTCGAGCGAAAAGGGAGTAGGGGAGAGGACAGCGCCCCAACGCACAGCAAGCGGCAACCACATGTGAGCTCGTTGGACAAGGCAAACGGGTCGCAATTCTTAAAAAAAGAGCAACTGCTGCTGTAACGGCCGACGGCAGAAATGCTACAGCCTGCTGCACCAAGGTCTCCTAGAATCGAAAACCGTGGAGCATTCGAAATGAAAACGATGTATAGAAGGATACTGTGACGGATGACGGAGGCATGCTTGAGCCCGCTGCACCAGGGTCTCCCAAAACCGAAACTTTGTGGCGGTGTTTCGCGAGCAGGCTATCTTTCTATAGCGTACTCGACTCTCTTCCGCCATGGTCGCACGGGCAGAAACGCATCAATAGGGGAGGCTTGGGCAAAGAAAATATATTAAACATCTGTCCCCAAAACGACCCCACGACAAAAAGGAAAAAAAAAGAAGGAAGAGACTAATCGCTAGCAATCCATCGAAAAATCACACCAACAAGCAACTCAACGATACTTGCAATTTCGTCAGTACTACGGCACAGCAACAAGCCACTCACCGTTCCATGTGGTCGTTCTGCTGTTGTGGTTGACGAAGTAGCGGTCTCCGCTCGCTTGGTCGACTCTTACCTCCCAACCCTGTGCGGACACAGCAGTGGACAGGCAAAATACAGAGGAGAGGAGAGAGGCGTAGCCTACAGCCGTGAGAAGGACGTGCGCAGGCGATAGAAGTGCTTCCTTCATGACGCGCAACAACAACGCACGGCATTGCCTCGCGCGACACATGTGGCAGAAACGGATAACAGAGAGGCAAGGCGTCAGAGACGCGCGAGCCGAGAAAGCATATCAAGAAAAAGTCGAAACGTTACCAGAAGCAGCACATTGATCAGAGGCAACGTTACCTACTAGAATATGTCGTAGGCGTCGACGGAGACAGAACTGGATAAGGAGACTACTCATTCTAGAAACGAAAGGCAATCAAGGCCATTCTCGACACGGAGTCCAATCTGCTTCTTGCCGAATTCTCTGGCAGCCAGCTTGGACCAAGTAGGCGCACCAACCCCAAACGCACGAAGGACAATCACCACCCACCCCAGCACCTCTACCCGAAGCTCGAAGATTACTAAGAACAAAACTTTCCCATTCTCTGCAAAGACTTCCATACATCCCCTTCGACTGCGGTAGCGTATCTCGAACGGGTAGCAGACTTTCATTGATTGAGAGCATATTTTCAAAAATGAAACACACAAAAATCAATTGATAAGTAGGTTATATCCGCAACAAAAAAAGAGTCCAACAAAGCAGTGGAGCACCGCCCCCACCCCCCCCCACCTGCGGCAACGCCATGTCATCGATCCGCCGCGGCGAGAATCGTGCCGTCGCCCCGCGGCCGCTCTCTGCCCCCGCCACCCCTGCTTCCATCTGTACCGCCTCGGCCATCGGGATGCCCACGGCGCCCCCGCCGCCGGCCGCTGCTGCCTCCGGCGGCCCAACGGAAACGCCTTCGTGGAAACCCGCACCGCCAGCGGCGGCGGCGGCGGCGGCGCAACCTGCATCGCCTCCGGTCTTTCTCTTCCGTTGGTCTTTCGGGGGCGCGGAGGGGGAACACGAGGCGTTGTTGTTTTCGACGTCGTCGTTGAGTTCGTCCACCGGGACGGCTGTCGCGAGAACCGGTTCTCCCGTCACGAGAAAGGCCGGATCTGGGGTCGTGTTCAGGGGGCCGCCGTCCGGCGAGGCGGGGTCGGCGTAGGCCGGCGGGGGTGGTCGAGTCGGCTGCGAGACAGGGAGAGAGGAAGGTTGAAAGCGTCTTCAGTTGAGTTTTGCAGATAGATGAATGTACAGTTGGCTGGAGAACGAAACGCTAGGGGTTACCGGGCGTAGGCATGGAGATGGCGATTGGGGAGCGGCTACGGGGACGCGAGATGACACGCAGCTTACCAACACCGCGTCGCAGACCAAAAAAGGCGAGGCAACGCCAAAACCGTACAGAAATAGGGATTCACAATCTTGGCACAACCGGGCCCGCTTGTTTCCCCTTCCGAAGTCCACGAATGTGTTGCTTATTGTTGACATGTGAACAAAGTTATTTTCCTCTGTGTCTTTTTACGTTTCTCGGAAAAGCAGGGTGGTTGATCGAGGCGAGGCAAGTGAGGGGGTAGGCAGTGACCATGCCCAGGGTACGCACACAGTCCACACCGACCCGTATTTTCTCGTACCTTGCCCCACGCCCGCAGGATCCGTATCGCAAAAGACCCAAAGATAACGAAGAAGATCACGTTGCCGAGGTTCAGGCCCGACGATTCGCCTCCGCCGAACCTTCTCGAGCCGGTGCGAGAGGAGGAGAGAGGGAGAGAGAGAGGGAGAGAGAAATAGAGAAGGAGGGAAAGAGACAGAAGGAGAGAGACAGACAGACAGACAGACAGACGGACAGAGACAGAGAGGGAAAGAGAGACAGAGAGGGAAAGAGAGACAGAGAGGGAAAGAGAGACAGAGAGGGAAAGAGAGACAGAGAGACAGAGAGGGAGAGAGAGAGGGACAGGGGCGCAGGAGCGGTGCAACCGGAGGTTAAGGGGTCATGCTCTCCTTAACACTGACAAATACAAGGGGCTTGTGGTATTCAAGCATGTTCACGATACCCTGCCCTCGTCGACATCAAAAGGACCCGCGTATACTGGCCAGTGGAATCCCGAAGGGCACGGGAAGGCCATTCTACAAACACAGCCACCACATCGCCGCCTGGTGCTACGCCTGGGTACATCTAGCAGTTGTGCGGAAGATGGCGCCAAAGGACAATCGCGGCCAGCGAACGGCACCTTCACCTAAATGGATAACCCAACACCTGAAGACAGCAAGACATGCACAGCCTCAGCGGAATCAGACCTCCATTCTCAACAAAAAACTTTCGAGTGTACGCGCTCAAAAGTTCACCATGCGCACTCCCTCTTCCTGACAAACTGTCGTCCTTGCTGGTGCCGCTGCTGCGTTTGTGATAGCTGCAGCATCACTGTCCGTAGTCTAAACCCTGCCGCATGCCTACGCCCGCACAAAACCCACCGGCGTCGAAGGAACGCGGACCCAACTCGCAAATCTCCGCTGCCACTCACCACGGACCAACGGCGTCGAGCGAGTAGGCGAGGGAGCAGGACCCCACTAGCACGTAGGGGTCGCTGGGGCTGTCGTAGCCCTCGCATGACACCGTCACAGCGCCGAGGGCTCCATCGGCCGGTAGGTCGGCGCTGCACTCCCACTGCGGCTGCCCGTCGTCTCCCGTCTTCCGATATACAGCAGTGGCGCCGATGGTTTTGCCAAAACACAGAACCAGCGCCCGCAATTGAGGAGTTGGCAAAGTGTCATGCTCTACAGCGTATCAAAACCTGAGCACTACTGGTTGTGATCCCGGTCAAGAACCTTTTCTACACCAAAACCTAGATAGTGGCCATTTGTACGGGCCACAAGATTCCGACGCCATGCGTACCACCCTTGTCCGTGCCACAGGTGAACACCCGAACACCGGATGCTGTGAACTCCGTTCGCCCTGGGCTCCTGACCTCCTGCAGACCGACAAACGAAATGTCCTGTTTCGCTGCCTCGTGTAGGACGCTGTCGGCTCTCCCATAGCCGTTGGCCCCGTTCACGGCCAGTGTACGCACATTGTAGGTTGCTACCCTAACAAGTCGACCCTGTCGCCTCTCCCGGGTGGTGCGTGCTGCATCCTTAATCAGCCTACGCACCTTCCGGCCCCTCCTCCTCTTCTTCCTTCCTTTTTTTATTTGTTTTTTTCTGATTGCCCTGCGGATCCTCGGGTTAATGTAAGAGTTAACCCGGTGCTTGCCTTTCCCAGCGAGGTGTCTTCCTGTCCCGGAGCGGCGTGGCTCTCCAGCTCTGGACCCTTTCCGTCCCCCTGTTGGGTGCTTACCCACACGGTGTGCGATCATCCCGCCACCCTCTCCGTGCTCTCCACCGCTGCCTTGCCCCGGTGTCCAAACCGGGGCATTTGGGTTCAAACCCATCGGCATCTGTCTCCAAGTTGGCTTATCGCGATCTATCTCGATCTCGTGACCGCGGTAACTCCCGACCGCCTCCCCGAGGGAGGCCGAGGCCCGCAAGTGCAGTTAACCCTCGAAAAACCACCCAACAACGACGGATGTACGGTCCCTAGCACCGTTTAGGAGAGGATCCTGAGTTTGGCGGTCGGGAGTTACCGCGGTCACGAGATCGAGGTAGGTCG